CTTCTACTATATATATATATATATATATATATATATATATATATATATATATATATATATTAAAAGCCTATTGTATTATTAATTACTTTTATTCTATCGATTAAAAGCTTTTATTATCGTATTTATTAATTTTGTTCTAGAATTATCATTTGACTTTTAATAGTTTGTCACTTAGCTTAAGTTTTTATTTATTTTCTTTTATTATGTTTATTACATAGTATATTACACTAAACTATTTATAAATGGGAATGCAAATATTTTTTAATTATGTGAATTCATAAAAATATCTTACTCAAAATAGTTTGATTTAAAAATATTTCTATCACATTAATAATTTTAAATAAAGAATACCATTTTTTAAAATAAGCATATTATTTCTCTCTCTTTTCGAATGCAATATTTTCGTAATAATATGATCGCAATAGCAGGATGAATTTTTCTCGTCATATGTTAGGTTTGAATTAACCTAGTGTTTTACTATACCATTATATATAACTAAAATCTTGTAAGTTAATATTACGATAATAATACATATTCAATGTAATTACATAAAGTAGAGTATATAAAAATAGAGTAAACAAATTTCATCATAGAAAAATTATTTTCAATAAAAACTTATAAGTTAATACTAATTTTGTGAAACAATTTTAGATAAAAATGGGGTTTAATTTTTTCGTCTAAACGCTGTTACGAGAAATACTTATAACATATTCAACGTTTATGCATCGAGATTTAAGGTCCATCCCAAGGGCCAATTTGTTTTAATGCATAAACGTTATTACCAGAAATACTTATAACATATTCAATATTTATGCATCGAAATTTAAGGTCCATCCCAAGGGCCAATTTGTTTTATGCATAAATGTTGTTACGAGAAATACTAATAACATATTCTAACATTTATGCATCGAGATTTAAGGTTCATCCCAAGGGCCAATTTATTTTATGCATAAACGTTGTTATGAGAAATACTCCAACAATCCCTCTGTTTGACCTTTTGATTAACACCTAATTTCACTACATAAGAAATTTACTCTCTCTTTCGATCTAAAAAAATATATATATATTAAGTAATTTTCAGTTTTAATTTGTATGTTTAATTAAGAAATGTATTTAATTTTAGACGATTATATAATATGACATGTTTAAAATCAAAAATATTAATGGATATTAGATACACTTTAAATACTTTTAATTAAGACTCTCAAAAATTCAAGAATTTATTTGTTTTCTTAGTTAAAATTAAAATAGAGAAAATTATATAATTTTAACTTTGTGTTCATGATTCGTAATAGTATTATCTATAGCCACAATATCTATAATTTATGTTCAAACCTAAATTTCTAAATATTTTCTGTTATTTTTTAATCAATTCTGTATCAAATTAAACATTATCATATAAATCAAAATGAGGTGTACTAACTAAGACAACAACGTATCAACTTGATCCAAAACTCCAAAACTAGGAGTCGGTTCATCGGAAGATATACAATAAATAAAAATAGATTAATTTTAGCTTAGATTATAAAATAAAATCAATTCGGATACAATTGTGTAAAGGTATAAACCACCTTCACATGTATAGAAGTTACTAACTGCAGTTAGCTGTAAACTGAATTTTATTAGAAGTATATATATATAGTTAGTAGGAGTAGTTAGTAGTTAACAATTGGTTAGTTAAATATTTGCCTTTGTAAAAATTCTTTTTCATTAAATTTATATATCACGTTTGTTGTAAAGAAAGCTCAGAATATAAGATGAAAAAGACAAGAAATATAAGATAGAGGAGATAATTTTCTTATTCAAGTATGTCATACAATGGTGAATGATATCTCTATTTATTGTTGAGATATCGTAGTCAAAGGTCACCTTGAAATTTCACATAGTTATCATCAAGGTTCATATCACCTTGATATCTTATCACATTAGAAACACTAATACATGAATCCTGTTGGATAAATCTAATGGATCATCCACATATACAATGGATTTACAACACTCCCCCATGGATATCCATAGATTATGTGCCTCATTAAAACCTTACTAGGAAACACCCAGTGGGAAAAAGCCTAGTGAAGGAAAAAGAGTACACATATCTCTAATACCTTTGAATGTTGTCTCGTTAAAAACCTTACCAGGAAAATCCAACTTGGGACAAAACCATAGTTAAGGAAAAGAGTACAACGCG